TCTTCATAAACAGTTTCCACACTCCAGACTGCCAGTTCCCACACTCCGGACAGCTCGCCTTGACTGCTTCCTTTATCACTTCCTACGTCGACCCGTTTTCCTCCCTTCCCTTATAATTTTTGGAATTCGGATACCTAAATCTAATCTTCATAAACAGTTTCCACACTCCAGACTGCTCACCTTTCGTACTTCCTTCACTACTTCCTACGTTGCGGACCCGTTGTCCTCCCTTCCCATAGAATTTTAGGAATGCAGATACATAAATCTAATCGTCATAAACAGTTTCCACACTCCAGACTGCTCACCTTTAGTAAATCCTTTAGCACTTCCTACGTCACAGACCTCAAGCTAGTGTCGTCATTTGATTATATTTATGATTCATACCGTTTATGTTCTAATATCTGTGAAATTAGGCTATCAGCTATTTCTTTATCTACTGCATTCAAAAGTCAACAGCTGATCATATGTCTTTGTTTATGTGTCAAATACTGCTTCCATAAGGATACATTGAAACTTTGAGACCCAGTGGGGCGGATTCCTGAGAGTTATTTTTAACGCCATATAGATGTTCCCATGTAGCACAGATGGTTGGGCCAACGTTGGTAAATTGTGGAGCCACACAGTTGGCCAACGGTAGAAATGTCACCTCTTTAAACTGTTTTCCAGCCAACCTTTGTCCAACAATGGCTCAACCAAAATTATTTCACACAAAATAATAAAGATTTAGTACGAAAAGCATAATTATTAGTTGAGTAAATTGATTAAATAGTTCATAAAAACAAATTTTGAAAAAAAGCTGGAACAAAATTTTTTGGCCCAGACGGGTCTCGAACCCGGGTCCTTCGACTTACGAGCCTCTTACCTTACCACTGAGCTATCTGTGATTGTTGATACAGAGAGTTTTCAAGTGGTGAAAGAGTAGCCGACAGTTGCAATGGTCGCAATACTTCAAACACTTTTGATACTACACAGTATAATATGATTCTGTTAATCTGTTAAGGCATCATAAGTAGTTATTTTTTTTTTTTTTTAGTTAGAGAGGATACTGGTATTTGAATATAGATTAATTAATTACCGTTAGATTATTAATGCTATTATAATTGACTGTTATATGATTAATTACTCTTTCCCCTTAAATTGTTGCAAATAAGTTAAAGAATATTAATTTAAAAAATATTTGCATTATTATAATTATTAAAGTTCATTGTTGTAGCCCCGGAACTGTAATATATAAAATATCTGGTTTTACAATACCTTTATCAGTTCCAAAAACTTTTGGAACTGATAAAGGTATTGTAAAACCAGATATTTTATTATAATTATGTTGTGAAAGCTAGACCCAGAGAATGAAAGTCGTGTAAACTCAACTATGGACCATCGTTGGTCCAACAAAAGTATCTTTTGTTGGTCCAACGGAGTGAAAAACGGTTGGACAACGGTTGGCTTGATGTATGATACCCAACAATGCATATTAATGTATTTCATTAACAATGAACCGATGTTGGTCCACAGTTGTAAATATTGGTTGGCCCAACTACGAGATATACAGTTGGACAACGGTTGGTTGGTTGTGGAAGCTCCAACCAACCATCGACCAACTGTCCCACAGTTGGCCAACGTTGGCCCAACCATCTGTGCTACATGGGTTGGCACTCACCGATATGGTCTTTATCACCATCCAAAATTTGAAAACGATTGATTCAGCCGTCTAGGAGGAGTTTGCGTATTACGAAATGCATAAAAGTCGACGTATAAGAGCTTCGCTCGCTCCGCTCAATAATATCCTAAATAAAACACATGTTTTATTTGCAGTCTTGAAACAATTGACACTATTAATATCACCCTAGTAGCATGAAAACAGTTTGAACTGGTAATAAAACAGTTTTGAAACAAGTTAAAGCTTTATACATGCTTGAAATGACACAAACGGGATAGAAAATCTTTTTCAAGTTAATTATGAGGCCTAAAACAGCTTCTCGCATTCAAGCAGATGGCTATCATTACACAGTCAGACATGAAGCATCCGTGGTGTAGGGTCTATATAATAACGGCTAACACAACCGGCTTCCGTGCAATGCAGCTGCTGGAGTCCCTGGTTCAAATCTCGGGCAATACTGTGAATTTTTTGCCAAGAATTGTTTTACTGTTTCATTTTTATTTTATTTTTAGTGCATATAGTTGATACGATTCAATGTTTTGAAACAAATTAAAAATTGTTTTTTAACAAGCTACAAATTATTTTCAAATAAGCTAATGACTTGGATCCTATTTACTTGTATTGATGTGTATTGGCCCAAATACGTATTGATATATAAATTCAAATTTATTTTAAAAATTGAAATCTTACTACACATTGTAGTCTGCTGTAGAACAAAGAATAATAATATTACATTAAATTTTGGAAGTTTGTTTAAACCTAATTTTGTTATATAGGTGGTTTCTTATAATATTAATAGAACATTTTATGGCTGTTAAAGATACCTATTAAATATAGCACTTGATTTTCCAAATTGAATTTCTTCAAATATTTCTCGACTTGATGAGGAATTGAGTGAAAATTTAAAAACGTACGTTTTCAGGAAAAGCACTTTGCAAATTTTTTTCCCCTTTTTTCAAAACTTTTATTATTTTTTTTATTTCATTAACATTTGAAGTTTTATAAAATGTCCATGGTAACGCAATATCTTTGGTAGTTTCTTTTTAAAAGAGCATCTTTAGTGGAAAAACACAAAATCCTGTCACGACCATAACGGACGTTTAAATGAATATTAAAAATAGTTAGTATTATTTTTATAGATATGTTTTGCTATAAACTAATTTACTTTTATGACCACTATACAATAAAAAGGTCACTGAGCTTTTGGTATATTTAGTCTTTCTAGAAAAAAATAAAAAAACTCAAAAAATTGAAAAAAAGCCAATAAAATCTTTTTAAGTTTGTATAACTCCGAAAAAACTTACCTGAGACCCGAAAAATCGTTATGTTTGTATAGAGGTGTGCTTCTTTTGTGTATAAAACATTGAAATATGACGATATTTTAATTTTTGAAATTTGTATGATAGAAATCATAAACGTGATGGTCAGGGACAAGCGGTACGGTCGTGAATTGTCTGGAATAATCTAAATCTTTCTAAACAATCCTTCAATTATCCTGTTAGTTATAATAAAAATAAGTGTTTCAATTGCACTAAACTGTTCAATTTACAATTATATTAAAGTTCTTGTCACGACCAAACACACTATAATCCATAAGGCTGGATTGGTCGTGAAAAAACCCGCGATGGTCGTGAAACTTTGGTCGTGAAATTACGTGTTATTTGGCTCTGTTCTGGTGGTAGCCCTGCACCTCATGTTCGAGGATACAAAGTGGACTTCTAGGTTAATCTAGCAATTGAAATAACTTATAAACAAAAATTAACACCATGTCTACTTCATCGAATGACTACGTACGGTCATGGACACACCAAAATTACAAAAAACACAATCTTTCCTTTATTAATCTTGTAATTCCTCCTTTCAACTCGAAACGACCGGCACTACAATCCTGACGTACACCCCGAACTAGTCTCTAAAACCAACTGACTCCATCGACGCCAGGCTTGCCACTGTCGTGCTCCAAAGTTGAAAATTTGTCCCAAATGGTCGTGACGCCAAATCGAGGGACAGACTTATTTTGTCATGGTAGTCAGTTTGTGATGACAATAAAATTATAATATGCTCCTTTTTTGTAAGTTTAATAACCATTGATGACATAAAAATATGGCTTTATATATTTCGGCATGAATAATTAGTCTAAAAACAGCGTGAAAGTTGGAAAATGTACCCTAGGGACACGTCATGGTCGTGAATTTCGAGACTTTAAAAATACGAAAAAAATACCTAGAACCTATTTAAAACCAAATAAATGTGTGTAACATGTTGCCCCCGTCCCAAAAAATATTAAAACACATAATAATAAACTACAAATCCAGTATCTACGAAGTAAAAGGCCAGGGACATGAAAACGTACGTTTTTAAATTTTCACTCAATTGTTCCTCTTGATCCAATGAGTAGTCCATATAGGCCTACTTCAAATTTAGATATATCAATATAGGCTAAGTATCAATATACAATTTTTGTATTGATATTGATCTCTTCCATTAGGGAAGGTTGCACTGCTTTGTCCACCCTCTCCCTTATCTTTTGTTAATTGTTGATAATATTGTTCTGCCAATTTTAAAGCTGATTTATAATGTTCGATTTCAACCCTCTTTGTTCATTTAGTACTTTCTGGCGTCTTTTTTGACGGCCTTATATATTTCAAACTCTTCCATAGTGTCCATGAATCTGCCTTTATTGCACTCTTGGAGAATTTCAAGATTGTCGTGAATGGTGGAGTAACTGTGGTTATTATCAATTAAATGGTTGGCGTAGGAAGATGTTGATTTATTATTATGTTTGCCTGGTAAATGTTCTTTAAATCTGATGTTAAAAGATCTGGCAGTTTAACCAATATAAAAGGCAGCATAAGGACTAAATCCTTGCGTGGGAAGTTCTTTAAAATAGTGTAGTGTGGCGTAAATATGTTTATTTACTGAGAATCAATCAGCTGTTCCATCCGCTATGACGTCATTCCCGCGCGTTATAAGCTATGCCACGTTTTGAAAATTATAAGCTATAGAACAAACGAGATTTTATAAGCTGCAGCACATTTGAGCTATACCACTATCAGCTATGCCACATTTTAAGAAATCCGTTATAAGCTATGCCACATTTCTATGATTATAAGCTATGGAACAAATTCGCAATTATAAGCTATGCCATTATAAGCTATGACATCATAACCGGAAATTCGTTTAGTCTGCAGGTCTGCTATGGCGGGGTTATTTGTCTTCCTGTCGTCCTGTCCTAGTCTAGTCGAGTTTATTGTTAGTTGTTCTTATCTTATTCTATTCTATTTATTCTAAAAACCTTGGCTTTAGCTTGAATGTTTTTTTTTTTAATGTTCCGGTCTTTTGCTTATTTGCTTATTTATTTGTCTATGCTTATGCTTGCTTCCTTGCTTGGACAAAGATGCTCTGCTTATTATTTATGTTTTGTTAAATAATATTCTGGAATCGAATTAAGTTAAGATATAGGTTATCTATGCCATTACTCAGTAAACCAGAATCAGAATAGGCCTAGTTTTAAACTGTAAGTATCATACCAAAATAAATAGGCCTAAGTTAGGCCTGATTGGCCTATAGGCCTACAGGTAACTTAGGCATTAGGCCTAGTGGCCAAGTCAACTGAGAAGATACTTAACCACTTTCATATAGGCTACCAGGAACGAGTTTTGCTAGGCCTAGGGCCTATGAACAAAATTTGTTCCTGGTATACGACCCTAATAAGTTGTTTAGTTAGGCCTAGGTAAGGTTAACCTAACCTAACCAAACGATATAGGCTATTGAATGAAATAACAATCGAATAACTTAATCAATATTTTCATTCGAATGAGTTTTGGATGTAAAGTGCAGCCTTAGCTATTACCATTGACTTAAGTTAATTAGATACTGAAGTAGATATCCCATCTAACTTATATGACCAGCTGTATCAAATTTTTTGTGGCCAGTAACCCTCTATCTGGCGCTGGCGATTATTGACCAAAATGGCATAGGTCGGATTTTTCTATTATTAAATTTTAAAAACCCCTTTAAAACGCAAAAAAATCTTGTATAAGTCTTACCATTAGAAAGATGAGATTCTGAGGATTCATTTAACCATCCTAGTGTCCATAGTAATGGTATTAACCCTCCGAGCGTCACTCGTCGAAAAATCGACTCACGACACACTTTGTGTAGTGTCACGCGTCGATTTTTCGACACACGAACATCGTTTACGGCGAAGGCTCTATGACTGACTGAATCGGATTGTCGGACTGTCTCTAAGCGCTTCATGTTCTCCGAGCCGATCGTAATTGTAGCAGACAGCTGACGTTCGTGTTTTAGACAACTTGTTACAACTCGTTATTTCACATCGGTGACTTGTGTGTTTTTGTACGTTTATCGTCGTTTTTAGTGGTAAAAATGGACAGTAGTGATATACGTAATGCACTAGAAGATGATATTAGTGATGTTGAAGGACTTATTGACGATCCGGATGAAGTTGGTAGTGATATTGATGTAAATTATCAGCCAGATTCCTAGCTATGGTTAGGCTATGCATTCTTAGCTAAACGCTATGTACTGAAATCTGTTTTTTGCCCATAACTTATTTATTTGCAAATCTACTTCCTTATATTATTATATATTTGTAATCCTCATAAAATTTAGAACAAAGTGGCTATTTTCAAATATTTATAGGCCTATAATTTATACAATTTCATTGAGCGCAAACTTATTTTTTTTTTAACATTTTCCAAAATATTTTTTTTTACCTAAAAATTTTTTTTGAAACAAATGTTCCTTATGTTTTATGTATAATATTGAAGCCCATGATTTTCCAAACAAAATGGTATATAGAACAGTAGAATTAACATTGTTTTAAGCTTCTCAGATCCGTTTTAATAAAACCTTGCAAATGCGCCAAAAATAGGCGGACATTGAGGCCTAAACTATGGACACTCGGAGGGTTAATGTCCGCTCATTTATTGCGCAATTGCATGGTTTTATAAGCGTATCTTAGAAACTTAAAAACAATGTAAAGTAGGGCCTATACTGTTTTAGGCTATATATAATTTTGTTTGGGAAATTATGGGCTTCAATGTAATATATAAAACATTACAAAACAATTTTTGTGGGGTTAACATTTCTAAAAAATTATAAAATAAATGACAAAAATTTATGTTTGCGCTCAATAAATTTTTATAATTTATAAGTCTACAAATACTTTAAAATAGGTAGCCACTTTGTTCTAAATTTTATAAGGATAACAAAAATGTAATAATATAAGGAAGTAAATTTGCAATTAAGTTAAATAAGTTATGGGTGAAAAACAGATTTCGTACATTTAGCGTTAGCTAAGAATGCATACCGTAGCCTAACCATAGCTAGGCATCTGGCCGACAATGTACATCAATATCAAAACCTACTTCTTCAGGATCATCAACCAGCCCTTCAAAATCACTTAAATCTACTTATAATGCACCACGTCACAATCACTTTTTATTTTTAACACTAAAACAATGATAAACGTAATAAAACACGTCAGTCATCGGTGCGAGGTTAACCAAGTTGTTTACAAATACGCACGTCAGCTGTCTGCTACAATATTTTCGGAACTAAAATGAAAAGCGTCTAGAAACAGACATCAGGAGAAAGATTAGAATCTGCCAAAAACAACGATACCAATCTCGATCCAGTTCAATCTGATTCAGTCAGTCCCAGAGCCTTCGCCGTAAACGATGTTTGTGTGTCGCAAAAGCGACGCATTACACCACGGCGGGTGTGTTGTTCGTCTACTACCCGACGCTTAACACTCGGAGGGTTAATGTGTAAAACATTATTGAGTGAGTATTAGGGGTAGGCTAAGTTAGGTAGCGAGAAAAACATACTTAGAAAAACTAAAGAGTTCAAAATAGATTTTGGCGGTTGAAAGTTTTGGTCATCTCACTGCAAAAACAGCCACTTTTGGTTATTGTAAATTAAATTGCATACAATATTATAACATATTCTGAAACTAAAATAAATTCCCTCTGAATCTATGAGGTTGATTGTAAAAATTTTATTTGGTTTTAAAAATGTCATAAAAGTTAGCCTATAGATGTTTTTGTAAAAATCCTCAAAATTTTACATTCCCATGTAAATTACTCAGAAATATTAGAATTTAACTACATATTAACTATATATTTTTAGAAAGATCTTTTATTTCCTACTGTGCAGTCTCATATTTATTTTCTATTGGTTAGTTTTTCAAAAAAGAAAATGTGTAAGTTAGGCCCATGTAGAATTTATTTAGGCCTACAGTATTTATAATTTTAATTTTATGTGTAGCCTATATAAAAAATATTGATATTTCTACGGAAGTAAGTTAATCATATTTCACACAACCTTTACATTTAGATAAAATTTGTAAAAACAATTATTTTGTGGATTTCTTGTAAAATGTTTTTGAAGTTTTGTAATTTGCATCACCCGTAAATTTGCAAACCTTTAGCTACTACGCCTAAACGCATTGCTAGGAACAAATTATTTTTATATTATTATATTCTACCTACAATCTTCAGTCAACAATTCAGCTACAACCTTCTTTGCTCCAAACGATGTCTTATTAATGCAGCTATTATAATGTCTCACCCGGTCCATAAAGATCAGCGTTGTATGTTCAGGGTGGATGCCCATGACCAGACTTTCGTGTAGGCTATGTTCAGGTAGCTGCTGCAAAGGTAGTAGTTGCAATACAGCACAGCACATGCCAGGTGTCTCTTTTTAACATTTTAAAAGGCCTCGCAGTACTTACATATATGAACTGGTACCTATCACCACCGAGCTATCTCCTTTAGTATTTTTTCGGATTATATGTCATTGCTGATTGATAGATTTTTCACCATCCATTGAATCTTTTGCAAGTGTCTCAGGATGAGTTTGTTCATTCTTTTTGTTCACGTTCTTCACCTGCTTTTCCTTTGTTTGTCTGTGCACCTGCTACACCGTTTACGCCTTGATGTACTTTGTTAAGATTCCAGGATCGGCTGACAATTGGTAGAAACGGGCTCTTTTTATGGCTGTAGAATGTCGAAGTGCCCGCTAGACAGGGATTGTGTAAATCTGAATCTTTTCACAGGATTACGTTCATAACTAAACGTGACATAGGCCTATAATTTTACAAATTCCGATAAACCTCGAAAACAAATGTGAATAGTTGTAAAACCGCAACCAGTTCACACAACCCGCCTATACATTAGACATTTCATACAAGTATTCCCTGGAATTAAGGTCCCGTGACTGTCGTGGGATAAGATTGAGAAGTAGTCCCAGTTCCTCACAACATGTTCAACAATTGCTTCCGCACACAGTTAGGCCCGCCGCACATTAGAGTGTGGCGAGGTGCAGGCCTACATGTTATAAGCGACATGTTATAAGCGACATGTTATGTGCGAAGACTTTTTCGTGTCACCGCACATTGAAGCGAGGCGGGACAGAGGTTTCCTAGCTTTGAACCTTTGTTGATTCTGATAGTGAGTTTAAAATGTTGTGTTACTCTATTTGCTATCAATAAAATGTAAAAACTGTTTTGAAAATGTGATAACCGTACATGAAAAAAGAGCCATGGAGAGTATTTTCTAACTACCAGACCGATATTTTAGAGAATATTTTCGTGTGAACAAACAACAGTTTGACGATATCCATAAGTTAATTGAAAGTGATATTGATGAAAAGGGATGCAATGCTCAGCAACGTATTGCCATCTGAATTAAATGCTATCATTACTATGTCTTTCACTCACAAAACACTAAAAAACCAACGCAGGGGCGAGCGAGGTGCAGGAAAACTTTATTCCAACTACAACGCCGCGGAGACCTGACAGAGGCTGCAGCTGCTCAATGTGGTGGTCCATTTTAAATATGTGTATTAAAGAATCAGCCGCGCCTCGCTTGCACATAGCCTGCACCTCGCTTCGCTCCAATGACGGGTGAGAGTGAAATAAATAAACACACACCATCTCCTCTGATGTGAATGATATTGTGTGGAACAAACTCGCCATTAACATTCTAAACCTCAGTGTCCATACTATGAAATGGTTTAAACAATTACAAAAATATCAACAGAACTAGGCCTATATCATAAACAAATTTAAATGCAATAAAGAACTAGGTTTAATTCTTCTTATCTTTAACACGAATCACACATATTAGAAGTTGATAAAATTAAAATGCCACATTAAATTGGGTTAATTTCACTGACAACTATGATGTTTATGGTCCGAAATAACCTTAGTGAACTTAATTTTTATTCTAACAGCTGATGATTAAATAAATTGCAGACAAATGCAAACAAAAACCCGAAACAAATTATTCTTTAGGTATGAACTCCATGCTTGACCTTCTATGGGGTGGGGCGCCTACGTTATGAGAGGAATATGTATGCAAATTCTCATGCTTCTAGGTGCTATGGTTTGGCCTGTGCGTTGAGCGGAATTTCACATTTGTATAGAGATATTACATGGACCTAATGGGTTTATTGGTTGCCATGGCATTATTTGCAAGATATCAATAC